TTCATTGGATGTTGGAGGTGTGTTTAACTTGGCTGCTCTCCATTCATACGTCCACTGAGCTCCTTCACCTCCCTGAATCTCACATCTGACAGTGACTGTCTCACCGCTGTATATCTGAGTCCAGGATGGCTGCAGGGTCACAGTGGGCTTAGTGGGAACTGTTCACAGGAAAATATCCAGTTAGAGACAAATAGAAACATGAAGATAAAAAAATAAGACGGAATAAATTCTTCTATTTGTCAGGAGGTGTCTCTTATGTCAGGGTTAATAAACTCACAGTTGTTGAATGAAATTGTTAGCACAGAACACAAAATGACATCTCTCAGTTTGGCAGAAATAAAATAATTAAACTCACGAGTTTCAGTAACTGTGACGTCATTGCTCTCTTCTGTGAAGGAAACTGGATCTCCTCTCCCTCCTCTGCAGTGGTACAGACCTCCTTGTGTGACACTAATAACTCTGTTTCCTTCATTTCCTCTCATGAGCTGAGCTTTAGAAGAGACTGAATTACGTCTGAACCAGTCAAACTTCCAGCCAGCAGAGCCCTCCACAGAGCAGCTCAGTGTCACACTGCCCCCTGCTGGTATGACTGAACTTTGTGCTGTCAGTGTGGCTCTGGGTTTACTTGCTGTTGAAGAACCAAAATTGGTAAAACATTAAATCTGCTGCTGAAGATACAGAAACAGTTAATCATTAAATTGTTGGTTGTCTAAGGAAGAAATTTCTTACAGCACTGATTATGTGTTAAACATTGACCCATTTAGAAAACAATGTGTAATTTTTCTGCATGTGAGACATCAGATTGCTAGAAAAGTTTTTTTTTTTTCAAATCAAACATAGTTTTGAATGCCTCATCTCTGTTTTCTGTTCATTACTGTTTTAATAGTTACAGTGCAGTGAACAACTTCTTTTCTTTCTCTCACAGTGGGAGGAGAGTCGTTGAAAGAGAAGTATGTGTGTGTTTTTAAAGTCTTCTTACTACAAATATTATTAAAAAGTTATTTGAAAAAATCATGAGTGAATGTATATTTCAAACTAAATTACTGAACTCACAGGTTATCTCAATGGTGACATCATCACTTATATCAGTGTAGTAACCTGGGTTTCCTCTTGTTCCTCTGCAGCGGTAGATTCCTCCTTGAGATACTCTGATATCTCTGTTTTGTTGATCTCTGATTT